TCTTTTAGGGGGAAAGCTGTTCAAATTTGCCATAAAGCATTTTTTGATAGCATTTCTGTTGCCCAAAATGAAAGCCTAGAAAAATGTTTTGTTTCTATAGAGTATAAGAAATGTTATACTCGTTAGTTCTTTTTCTGTTTTTTGCCTTGCTGGGGCTCACTCCCAGGATCCATGCATATGCCAGGCAAGGACCCCACACTGGGCCTGGTGAAAGGGCTTTCATCCCATCTCACCTGAGTGATATGTAAGGCAGACTCTGAACTTTTATGCCGGGTAGTAGTACTGGCCCTGATGTACACTTTGGGAAATAGAAACGGAAATAACAACTCCTTTATTATTGGGGGGGGAATAATTTTGAGTAAGAATTTTATCATTGAAAAACCAAAAATTGATTGTGAGAAGAGAAGCATTTCTAACTCTTTCAAATCATACAGCTACACGAATTTCTCTGGTGACTTATCTCCCCTGGAGCGTTACTGAGTATGGTGCTTGTTTTACTGTCAACTCAGTCAAATCCTGGCTAACATTTTTATATTCTGATGTTGTTTGTTACTGGTTATTTGTAGCCTATGCCTCAACCAGATCCTGTCCATAATATTGAAGAAACACATGATCAAGTGCTGAAAACCAGATTAGAAGAAAATGAAAGTGAATTCCTTGAGCAAGGACCCATGATAGAACAACTTAGCAAAATGTTCTTCACAACGAAGCATCGTTGGTATCCTCGTGGGCAGTAAGTCGTACTTTCTGTCTTCAGTGCCCCCACACACACTTGAATGGCTGTATGGCATTCAGTACTTCTTTCCTTCCTGTATGTCGTGTACTGGCGCATGCTCAGAGGGTGTGTTACTGAAAGAAGTAAGGCTGCTGATGAGGCAGCTGGGCGTGGTAGTGCACGCCTGTGAGCCAGGCCTCAGACCGGAGGAGCGCAGCAAATCCAGGTCAGCCTGGCCTACACGGTGAGTTGAAGGGCAGCCTGAACTGCATAGCGAGAACCTTACTCAAAAACCAAAATGAAACAAAAGACTGAAGATGACATAAACGTGTAGCTCTCAACCTGCTAGATGTCAGATATGCCAAGTTTATGTCTCCTGAAGTTGAAGAATTAATTCTAAGGAATAGTGAAGATTAAGAGTAGGAAAATTTATTTTTTTTTCCACAATTTTATTGAGAAACAAATAGCAATGAGACAGTTTCAAATCAAATTGGTAGGACAGTTTCAATAATTAACACATTGCATACATTCTTCTTAGTGGTTAAGAGTAGGAAAATTAGGGCCGGCCAGATAGCTCAGCAGATTAAAACACTTGCTCAGGCAGATGCAGGGAATGGGGTTCGATCCCCCGTGTGCTGTGCCGGCTCTGCACCCGGGGTATGCTGAGACAGAGACTGAGACTGGGTGTGGTGACGCACACCTATAATACCAGCACTTGGAAGGCTGAATTCAGGAGGATCACTATGAGTCCAATCTGTGTAGTGAGACTTTGTAGACCCTGTACTAAAATACATAAAAAAGTAAAATAAAATAAAAGTAAGAGTAGGAAAATTATTGGGGAATAGGAGTATCTCTGACAGAGGAAGGGTCCCCAATGGGTTGCCAGTGGTTTCCCTTCTTTGCGAAAGCTTCGTAGGGCAAGTCAGGAGGTATGTATAACATGCGTCAAAACTCTAATCAGCCAATCAGATTATGAGCATAGCTGCTTGGCTAATACTGGCCTAGTAGTAACAGGGGAATACGGATGACATCATGAACTGTGGCTAGTACCTGTAGCTTTAGTGCTGTTAGCCCTGGTGGGAGAGGATGGCCCACGCCTGATGAGACAATGGTTTGTCAGGAAATCTCAGAAGGGCGGCACCAATAATCTCAAGTTTCCATTTATTTTAGGAAAGTATATGAATCTGGCC